CTTTCTTCAATCTCTACGATCGTGCGTCACGGCTCTTCGTCGTGCGTGAAGCGAGATAAATTAAGATAAGCAGAAAGGGAAAAAAAATATTTCTGATTTTATTAGACAGTTCAAAAATTTAAGCCTAGATTTCGAGACAGTTTAATCTTCAAAATTCCTTTTATGGGGTATTACCCTAGATATTCGAAGTTTAGATATCTTTATAAAAATGGAATGCTACCAGTGGTATTCGATTATCGCAGGTAAGAAAATGTCTGTCGATTTATTGTTTCTAGTAAATTAGAAAGCGTTTAGATATCTAAGAGCTGATCAAACAGTTAAGAAAATATTACGGTTGCTTACAGAAATGATTTTTTGCCAGATTCATGAGTTGTTAACGAAGTTAAATCCAGCGGTACTTTTCAGTTATGCATCTGCCACGCTTTTTGGTGTGCAGCAATGTATGATCTATTGGCTATCACCTGCCATGCTGTGGGTGTATGTCTGTTTATTTGGTTGTTTTTCATCCTTTAAACTATTTTTATAAATATAAATTATTTACAATTAAAAGGCACGTCGAAATGCATAACGGGTGTACAATGGAAAAGTACCATTCCAATAAATTAATATGAAGAGAATGTGTTTTTATCTGAATATTGGGAGCTTCCCCATTAATAAGAGTTCTTTAGAAAAGTATCAAATACTTTTGTCTCCTAACTATTGTTCATGTGCAAAATTAAAATAATTTGTAAATTATGTCCATTTTTTCTAAACGTAAAGAAACGTAACGAAACGTAAAGAATTATGCAAGTATTCAGAGTCGAATACGTAAGCGTACACATGTGTGTCTGTGGAGTGACTGTGTGAGTGTGAAGAGGATTTTCGGCACACGAGGGATTTTCATCGATTTGTGAGATAGGCTGTATGCCAGAAGACAGCTGTTGGCGTCTCGCTCACTGCAGCACACAAGACAGTGCATACAGCACGGTGCAGAAAACTTGCGGTCTTGGACCAGACTTCAGTGGAGCACCGTGATTTTTACAGATGAGATAAGATTCAGCCTGGACCTTTATTATCAGAGTACATTTATCTGGAAAGAACTTGGAATACGGTATCATCTCCTCCTCATCAGGTAAAAGGATCTCCTCCTCATCAGGTAAAAGGATCTCCTCCTCATCAGGTAAAAGGATCATTATGGAGGCGTAGTTGTAATGGTTTAGGCAGGCATTACGTTGAACAGCTGCACACCTCAGCATGTGTTTGACAAAGGCTCCCTGACTGTATGATACACAGATAGAAGACCTTAGGGCTCCATGTTTGACTTCTTAAGGAAGCAGTTGGCCCTGGGTTTCTGTTAATGGACAACAACACTCGTTCATATAGGACTCAGATGTTAAATGGAGGATATTCGCCGAGTGGATCGGCCAGCCAGATCCCTTGGTCTTAACCTTATACAGCATGTGCGGGACACTCTTGGGAGGACATTTTCATCCCGTCATCCTTATCCAAGAACCAACCCTGAGTTGACAGCTGCTTTGCAGAAGGAGTGGGATCTATTGTCACAAGTGCAGTAGGATCTATTGCCTCAACATCGATTGTCTCAGAATCTCCTCAGTGCCGTCTAGGTGTTTGACTGCCTGAATGTGAGAGGGAACCATACCTCTCACTTACATTTTTACCATATTAGAATCATTTCAGTTCGATATCACAATGCTGATTTCGGCATTCCCGTTCAATGAGATTTACTGATAATTAACTTACAAAATCTTTACTAATAAAATGACTTTTCAACTGTAAATTTCTTTCATTGTTATATATGTATATTCGTGCCAAATTTCATTAAAATCTGTCCATTGGTTCCTCAGAAATTCGGCATAATGTGCAAATTCTCTTAATTTTGCACACGACTGTAGTTCTTGTATAATTGGCTCAATATTTTGGAGTCTTTGGTGTAATATTACCACTATTAGGCAAATGTGGCCCAGACGCTTCCGTCTCTGACTATCGCGCTTCCGTCTCTGACTGCCTCACTGCAGAACCGGTCTCAAATCCCCGAGAACGCATAGATGCTTGTAAGCGTATAATATCTGTGCGACAAGGGAACAATCATTAACACACGGCGAACCGAAATCCTTTCTACAAGTTTATAAGGTATTTGTCCTGCCTTCTTAGCATGCTTTCGTGGTGTAGTGGTCAGCACGCTCGACACATATTCGAGAGGTCCGTGGTTCAAATCTCGGCGAAGACGTTGCTCATTTTTCATGACTCCTACATTAAAAAAATACCTAATGTCTCTATAGTGGCGCTGAACTAATAAAGGTGGTGGATGATGAATCTCCACCACAAGGATTTGGCGAATGGGTCACCTAATCCGCAGTCGCCCTTTAAAAGGGGGGAGTATATAAGGCCTTTCTCCCGCCTTCTTAGCATGCCTTCGTGGTGTAGTGGTCAGCACGCTTGACGTGTATTCGAGAGGTCCGTGGTTCGAGTCCCGACCAAGGCGTTGCTAATTTTTCATGACTCCTGCTTTAAAAAAAATACTTAATGTGTGTGCAAGTTGAAGACGATCCCCGAGGTATTCTCCCTAGGAATTTCATTCGGGGGGAAGCTTTCGGGGGAAAGCGAAGCATTGCGATATCGCATAGGCTCAGATGGATGCACAGATGCCGGACTTGATTCAGCCTGCACATGCTTTAATAGGAACGTCCCCAGTTTAGCAACAAAGCCTTTCTGAAATAGTGCTACTAATGGGAAAGTATAAAAATATCCTTGTTTTTTGAAACTGTGCTTAAAATTTTCTAAATTAGATTTCAGAGGACTTAATTTTTTTTCTAAAATTACATTTTTAACTGTTTCATAATTACACTGAAATAAAAAGTATCTTAAAGATCGGTAAGAAGAATTATTTATATGATACGAATGCATTAATATTTTGGGCTTATACACATATGTGGATACGCGGATACTTAAAATTACTTTATGATGAAATTTCCTTATTTGCATCATTTAAAAGATCCTATTGAAGATTTTACTTTAAATTAATTTCATGGAATTATTCATACATTTAATATCAATCAAAGTATCGGTTGTGTTCTGTTCTCTTTTCAATTACAAATTACATTGATTTTACGAAATTTTCTTAACAGGTACATTTCCTGACCAAAAAACAGATGACTGTGATGTTCTTATTTTTTAAAAAATATTTATACAAGGATTCAATAAAAACAGGGACAATATGTCAGTAGTTCTGAAAGGACTTTATTACCGTAGGTATAAATATACAATCCCTCAATTATGATCGTCAGCTGTGTTTACATCTTTCTGCGAAAGTATTGGAAGGCGGCCGCACGCCATCACCACGTCCACTTCCGTTGAAACAGTTGATCTCCCCTCTGCTATTTTAATTGATCTCTCGCAGTGATCCTTTCATTTTGGCAAAAAGGTCACGGTCTGACAGTCATACGGTCTCACTTTGGCTAGTATGGTATATGCTCTACAGCCTCCCATCGCCACCATCGCAAGAGATCCGCGACAGCATACGCATTATGATGCCATTTCGAGAAGCCAGCGCTGTCACGGATCTTCTGGAAAGGTGATGATATACACTTTGAAATACATTTGCTCGATATACTTCCGTATGACTATAATCTCTTCCACAAAATGAACAGTGACAGGGAACTCATTATCTTCCATGACTATGCACGTTGCATAATAGTGCATAATAACTCGAGAGCTTTCAGGCATTTCTGCGAAGGTGGCGTAAGGAGGTACTAAACACCTGCCAAATTCATCTGATATGAGTCAGGGTGGCTAATGTGATCTCTTTGCCAAAATGAAAGAATCATTGGGAAAGTTCTATTACAATAATAGGAAAGATGCTATCCATGCTTTAGGGCTTCGCTAAGCGACATCAACAGGAGTGAAGTACTGATGTTACAAGATGACTTCTGATAATTTGTGGTAATAAAGAAAGTGGTTATACATGGCAAGCGAATGTATTAACGAACTGTAAGTGGTTGCACCCATGAGAATAAGGTATTTTCAGAACTATCAAAGTGCTACTACTATTCTTTATCCAACTCTTGTTGTTATTTCTAGGGATTAAATACTTTGAAAGAAAATGCAGATGCTTTCAACATGCAATGGAAGCACATGAGGGCTAAACTGTGGAAACTTGAAAGTTTTTAAGCCAAAAGCGCGTTTAATGCAGCTGATCTGAAGACCCTTATCAACGTCAAATATATTGGGCGCTATTAAAATATTTGCATTAGCTTACAACTGCATTCATGAACACAAAACTCATTTTATTATAACTTTTTTTAATATATCCTATCTGAAAGTAAAATCAATGTGCCTGTGCTAGAAACTGCCGTTGATATTGGCTAGAGCCGTTGATTGCCTAGAGCATACTGGGATACAAAGTTGGGATGGGACATACTGGGATGCCTAGAGCATACTGGGACATTTTAAATATGATAGTTAGTTTCTGTATAATTTGGGTACTATTGTAATACCAAGGCCATTAATTTGTCTGTCGTTTGAAGAGACCTGGATGTAAATCTAGTAGAAGGCAATGGGGAATCGGTTGCCACTGATAAAATACTCTTAAAGAAGATATTTTGATTACCCAAAGGTTTTTTCTTATCATTAAATATTTCTGTGTAAGTCTAGTATAATAACCAAGGGCATCTTATTTCTGCTCTTCAGCAGTTCAGCAGTCTTAGTCACACATACTACACTCATTATACCGTATCGTTAGTTCAGAAGGAATGAAAAAAATTCGAAGAATAGTTTCTATCCAATTTGTATGATGAAGTGAAAAATTCCTTAGACAAAATCCTCGAAAGTTTGAAACTATCTACCGGGGTAACTGTACAGATGCGTCACAGCAGTAATAAAATATTACAGAACTTTACTTTTACCAATATTTATTAGTTAATTAAATATATGAATAAAATCATAAGCATTGTGCTATTCTGTTGTCATACCGATTGACTCAATCCTTTGATAATATGTCGTAGGGCATCTAGGCCACATGACTTATGGTGGATGGTGGATCTGTCCAGACTAGACTTCGAGTATTACCTTCCCATCTTTTGTGATGCTCTATCTGATACTGAATATCCGTTCAATATCCTGGCGAGAGACGGAGCCATTGAACTTCTGGAGGCTGCTGGAGATAGAGTGTTGAGAGTTCTGCCTGAAGTAGTTAGTGGTATAAAAAAAGCTATCAATACGGAAATCCCCGAAATCATGATGAATGCTTGTTCTGTTATTCAAAAACTGGCAACAGTGTCACCCCTTGTTGGAACAGCTCTAATAAAGTAAGTTTATACTGAATATATTATTTTTGCTGTATTTAGTATTCAATAGATTTATGCTCGTCATAAATAATGAATTTCTGATTTGGATGCTAACCAAGACATGCCACGTGTGAATGCTGTTCTTAATGCATTATAACAAATGCGAAAGTGTTCACAATTCCGTGACGTATTTTAAAAATTCGTAACAAATAAACTATACAATCGAGAACAAAATTGACCACATTTAAACAAGGGAAAACTCACAAAATATTTTTTACATACTTCACAAATTCTCAGTTTGTTAGATATTTAGTGCATAATACATTTCGTCTCACACGTTTGCTGGTATATCACGATCGACCACAGCCATCGAATATTTGTATAAAATTACTCTACCGCTCTCTTCCAGCGGCGTGTAGGTTGATATCCAGCGAACCTCAACTTGACCAACAGCCCTGACAGGCACCAATGTACTTCAGTTTAATTTTAATTTAAAATGCTCTAATCTTAATTCACTGGTAATTTATTTTTCAATGCTAAGAACTGTTAACATGAAAGTGAATGGAGAACAACGCTTTTGACGATCAGTTTCTATTTAATTTTGATTTAATAATCTTTCTTTCCTGATCGGTATATTGGCTAACGTATTGTTAGGGTGGTTTTGAACTTCAAGAGTAGCGTGGATTTTTCTAAATGTATAGTGTATTTGCGGCAAAGGGCACTTAAAATAGACATCTGACTGAAAGTCCTCTGAAATTGTTTGATGGTAGGAGAAGAGGGATGAGACTCCTTTGGATCCAACCTCTGAGTACTTTTGTTTCAAATTTGAGACGGAACAGTACTGTATGAAGTGGTACTCTGACCTATAAGATGCTCAAAGTCCCATGCCAATGACAGATGCAACCCTTTGCTCTTCGCCATGCTTAATGTTGTGGATGTTTCATGGACTTGTTCTGATGCTACCGTCAGCTAAATGTGATAAATCTCAACATAGTTTATATAATATTTAATTGATACATGAGTTTTTTTAAATATCTTTAGTATTCTTTTAGTTCATAAAAAAGTTTCTGAATCGTATATTCTGTATCTAGTACAGATACAATACAGTTTAAATCTTCCCTTCTCTCGTACTGATTTTTCCTTTCATGCATAATGTTAACATTTACGGTTCTTAATACAAGAATACATTCTATAGCTGCAAAAGGAAAAAGCTTCGAAAGGTGTACTGTATGTTTCTGTTAATAAGAAAAGCTTTCAACTAATTAATTTCCTCAGTAGAAGTAATCTATAAGCATAAAATCCAAAATCTGCTTCTTAGGAGAGGGAGAAGATCTCTTATCAGTATCTTTTAAAATGCTGGAATTTTTCTGTTAAACAAAGGTCAATTTAAACTTGAATTTTGCGTAATTTTATATTTGAAATGGCATGCTTCTTTACTGTCTCCTACATATATAATAAAATAATGATTAGTGTTAAAGAACTTGATTTTTTTCAGGTATTACAGAGTGCTGCTGATTCCCTTTTTCAGCAAATACAAGACAGTTCGATCTGGTTTCAAAGAAGGTGAGATAGACTATGGTCAAAGGAAGCGGAACCTTGGCACAGTTATAGATGAAACATTGGACCTTTTGGACAGAACTGGCGGCCAGGATGCTTACGTTGAGATTAAATACGCGGTTCCAACATTCGAGTCTGTCTACCATAATGCATAAGTCTGAATACCTCTGAAAAATGTAATAATAAAAGAACAATTGATTAAATATCAGATGTCTTAAACTACAAATAAAATATTAAATAAATAAAATTATTTTGCTATGGATTATTCTATATCACATTTAATGTTCGAATAAATTGTATTCGTAATAATAGTTATATCTCGAAAAATATTTGTGACTTAGAATGCAGACTGCAGCACTTTTGTGTCCTCGGTGGTGAGTACAGGCGTCCCTAATGAATTAACACTTTAGTAACTCAAAGCAAAATACACCTTTATTTGGTTGTTGGTTCACAGAATAATTTAACTGGCGACCACCAAAAACCGATGTTTTAGATGGCAGCCTATGTCACCTGTATTTGAAGACAGACGCAATAAGCTTAACTACTTCTGCGTTGTGCCAATTCAGAAGGAATACTGGAATGTTTACTTACACACAGCGAATGACCGTATGCAACTACTGTCTTGAACGTCATCAGAACTACAAGCTATCCGTGAATACGGAAAGTTTTTCGGAAATCTTCGCTTTCGAAACACCTGGTTGGCTGACTTACGCGAGAGCTAGTTCTTTAGAGAAAACGTATATGAGACAGAATTGTAAGAGACACATTATCGCCAGAGTCGCAAAATATTCCTCGTACATAGACGGAACATTACTTCCAGCTGGACTATTTCGGCTAGGTTTTTTGGAACAGTTTCTTGCAGTACCGCGCATCTCTAAATATGATAACCTTATTATGTATTTTGGCTCGTTGATAAATGGACCGAATTTACTAGTGAGGGATATAAGGAGTTACTATGATTAGCAACTGAGCATAGAAAACTGAAGTTAAGTTTGAATTTAAGCATTAATTGAGTTCCCATATCTAGATAACAGAATATTTGGAATCTGCGGCCTGTATCTACTGCGTCTGGTTGGCCATGTCTTGCACTTTTCATCCTTTTGCTTTGTGAATCATTTCCACAACAGATCATGTGTTTACTCTAATTTACTTGTTGTGGTCATACTGACTACTGAGTAATCAACGTTGATATTGCAGTACGATACTGTTTACATCTTGTGACAAATTAAATTAAAACTTGTTTCAGCTATTAAAAGTCGATACAAGAAGTACTCATACAAAAAAAAAAAAAAAAAAAAAAAAAACAATGAACTATATTCAATGGAAAGGTATTTTTATAACCATGCCCATTCTCATTCTCATTATCATTATAAGGGCAGAGCCCCGATCCTCCTAGCTGGCCTTATGATCAAATAAAGGGACTGGCCAGTAAAACCAAATTTAAGAAAAAACAAAAAAGTTCAAAATCTGAGTCTCAGTGCCGAATTCCAGATTTTGGACTTTTTTTGCCCATGCCCATATCAGTGAACCCTTCTGGTTTAATGCCACTGAATTTTTCTTCCTAAAGTTCTGTCATCAAGATCAGTTGCCTTGTAAATCTATAAGCGAACATAATATAAATGTGAGTGCTTATACACCGATAACACCTACAGCAGATTCAAATAAGAAAAATTGTTAACTGGATATTTATATCGCCATCAGTCTGATGAGCTTTGAAATATATTAATATGATTATGACGAAGGAGCGAATTTAATAATCTGTTGTGGTGTGATATCGTAACTAATTCTTCCAATATGAACATAAAGTCAGGCTATGGTGTTATTATTAAGTTAACCAGGTATTTATAATTTCAGCCTTTACTATAGGAACGCAAATGAGTTAGAGAGTATTTAAACTGAGGTTTTTGAATTGTAAGACAAAGCGTGTTTCTGCCTTTCGAGGCCATGTTACTTAGTTTTGTCAGCTTTGATAACATTGCAATTATTCCGCTTTGCGTTACAGCTGCCGTCATTTAAATTAAATTAAGAAGTTCTGAGCCAACTTAGATTTAAATTAAATTCTGTAGTATTTGACTGTTAAGTTACGTTTTAAATTTAAATTCGAATGTTACTTTAAGTTACATCGACAGAAGTGGTTGATGATCTTGTCAACTTAGCATAACGATCTTGAAGTGCGTTTATGTTCAAGTTATGTTTTAATGAGAAGATGTTTAAAACCTCTTCAAGTCTTTGTACTTAATTTCAGACACAGCAGTATTTCTCTATACGTCTGTTAGGAATTTGAATCAAGTTTAAAAAGCGAGTCAATCTCTATAAGGTCAACGATTTTACTGTGAGTGAGAGGGAAAAGTTTGGGCTTATTGTTAGCAGAGACCTTAAGCACCTAACAAGTGACAGTTAGAGATGGGTAAAACTTTTTTGTAAGATCACATTGAACCTTTCGCTCTGAACCGAATCGAATTTTTTGTAATTCACTGCTGAGTAACAATAACTTTGATGAATGAGATCGGGAACGGGGAGTGAATCCACAATGTTTAGCGAGGATGGAGAGAAGAACGAAAAGAATCGAACGAGCAGTGAGATTGGAAGCTGTAACTCAACAGAATCGCTCATTCCGTGGGCTAGTTTATTCCAGCAATTTTGAGATTCCTTGAAATCTCCATTCTTCATAGAATTAACAATAAATTCTGGACTAAAAAGTGTTCAAAAGCTGGGAAATGATAAAAATTAACTCACTTTTAACACGGGAGGTTAAACTTTATTTTCTCCCCTAAAATGAAAACAAAACTTTCCTGGTACGCTTCCAACAAGAGCTCTAGATAGGTAGATGAATTTTAAAAGAACTTCCCCTCCCTTTTTTTTTAACAGATCACAGTTTCTTGGTTTAGTAAATTAATGCTTTGTGTGAATATGTTTTTCCCGCTCCAGTTTTGATGAAGAAACAAGGGAATGTACCCAAAGGTCTTTTACCCCTCTTCCTTTATTACTAACTTTCCAGATTTTGAGTCGACAGTACTTTAAATGCCAATGCAATTACAAAATCACGCTTTTCCTGAGATTTGAATTCGAGTCAAATGCTATGGCGGACGGTTAGTTACTCAATCATCCATGCAAGCAGGGCGGCATAATAATCTATAATATTAATGAGTAAGTAAATGAGAAATATTTAAAGAATTATTTTCCACATGCAAATATTTTTATTCTAGATATTTTTCCCGAACACATTTTTAGCATTCAGGTATTTAGCTATTGCTTTTAGATGCATTTTTGGTTTGCAAGTTATCAGAATGCATAACTAACAGTACTTCAATAAGTAGCTAGAGATAAAAACTGCGACTGATTTAGTTTTCACGCATCTGTTTGCGGTAGACATTGTTTTAAAAATCGATGCCCCATATATGGGTATTTATTGACATTTTTCCCCCCAGCTGAAACCTTGCACTCAATGAAGAGATTCCTCAGTATGTAACAGGAACACGAGTTAGTAATTAAAAATAACTTACCTTACAAAGTGTTTCACAAAAGCTTCACTCCCTTTAGACAAATGCTTCTCCAGTGATTTATCATAATTAAATGAAAAAAAAAAAAAAAAAACACCATAGGCGGTAAACTTAATAATCATCTCTGGCTGTCTATCTTTTTTCACCTTTCGTTTGAACGGAGATTATTTCCTGGTGTTTATAAACATATCCGATTAACTGTTTGAAGTTTTTTAAGCGCATGTGCTTTAGAGGACAAATATACGCGATGTATAACCTACATGTTTTATTCAAATTTTATAAGGATGAAATAAATAAATTAGATAGAAGGTCAGTGAAGTTTTTTATAAAATACTGTAAAAATTAAGATTTAATTCCGAGGAAAATTTTAAAAGAATTTTTTGTGGATTTCTTCTAGATGATCTGACAAACGACTCACTCAAAGTAAAATACGTTTATTCTTGTACTCTATAACGATGACAATAATATGTACGGTTCTACGCTGCTCTAGATGCTAACTCCTAGAAACATAAGCCCACCACCCGCCGAGCGGTAAAGTCGCTGAACACTGGTAGTTCGGTCCGAGGTTCGAATCCCGCGAACGGGCTGGCTGCATGGTGTTTTCGTGTTTTCCCCATGTACGTGTATACGAGCCAGTTCCCCTTAGAAAGTCCTCCACGAAGGCATCCCTCCTCTTAGGCTGATAGCCCTAGTGTGTTTTGCCATAATTGAATACACCACCACACCACCTAGAAACATAAAGATTGACAATTTATCGGCGTCTTACTTTTTGAAGCGCAATAAATGCAAACTTAGATGAAGATTTAAAATAAGCCTGTTTATTTATATGTCATAACGATAGTTAGGTAAACTATACACTAAAAGAAACGTAATAACCGCTCTTTTCAGGAAACGTACAACAAATGCTCCAGTTAAGTAAAAGCATTAAATACAAAGACACACACTCCAAATAAGTTTTGGCTTAGCCTTAAATATACACAAAACAAATGCGGCTACAGAAGTCAAAGCCGAGTATTCCATTTAGTAGCAGGGAATAAAGATGGACTAGTCATTCGAGAATAGTTTCAAAGAAGCAATTTACTTTACTGAGCGAGGGAACGGTGATCAAACGAGTACCTCCTTTAGATTCAACCCATTCAGGGCTCTCGTTGCATGCATGTCGGTATTCTCCTATTTTTTAGGGAAGAAAGGTATGCTTCTTCTCCTGTGTTAAAAATGAGTTCATTGTTTATCATTTCCCAAAAATCAGTTCAAGAAATGAGCAGTTCATTTAAGATCCGGTTTTCTCATTCTGTTTTTTCTACTGCTCTGTCCATCCTCACATACCACTTTTAACTCACTCCCTGTTCCAGATCTTATTTATAAAGGTGATCATTAGTGATTCGTGATTCATGAAACAAAACTGATTCAATTGAATGAACTAACGATTCTCTTTCTGATGCCATAAAACAGTTGTTTTGCCCAGCTCTATCGGGAAAGTGTAAGAACGACAGCTGCCAAGGGCTCACTTTTAAGCTCAAGAAGAATGTACTTAATGCATTAACTAATTTGCCCCCAGGTAGGGGTTGACGGATGCATAAGCAATAGTATAAGCAAAATAATAAGATAACAGGATTAATTAACTTAAAAGCCTACAAACAAAGTTCATTAAGATACGAAAAAATAGATATTTTAAGCGATCAATTTGTTCATTGCTTTCATCTAGTATAAACAGTTCCTTAAACAATTTTTAATAACTGGGATTTTGCTTCTAAACTCTTTT